CGCCGTTCCCCCCCCTGCCCCAGCAGCAGCAGCAGCAGCTGCAGATGTTCTGGTCGTACCAGCGGCACGAGATCGAGCAGGTGAACGACTTCAAGAACCACCAGCTCCCCCTCGCCCGCATCAAGAAGATCATGAAAGCCGACGAGGACGTCCGCATGATCTCCGCCGAGGCCCCCATCCTCTTCGCCAAGGCCTGCGAGCTCTTCATCCTCGAGCTCACCATCCGCTCCTGGCTCCACGCCGAGGAGAACAAGCGCCGCACTCTCCAGAAGAACGACATCGCCGCCGCCATCACCAGAACGGACATCTTCGATTTCCTCGTCGACATCGTCCCCAGGGACGAGATCAAGGACGAGGCCGCTCTCGGCGGGATGGTGGGGGCCACCGCCAGCGGCGTCCCCTATTACTACCCTCCGATCGGGCAGCCGGCCGGGGCCCCCGCCGGGATGATGATCGGACGGCCGGCGGTGGACCCCACGGGGGTGTACGTTCAGCCGCCGTCGCAGGCGTGGCAGTCCGTCTGGCAGACGGCGGCGGACGACGGATCGTACGGCAGCGGCGGCCAAGGGAACCTCGATGGACAGAGGTATGTGGATTTGGTTAAGTGTTTTTCTCGATGTTATTTGTTTACTAATTTATTTATTGGCAATGTAGTTATTTTCAGTGATGAAACTGGAGATAGGCTTTCTTTTCTTTTTTTTTTTTTTTCCAATTGGGATTTTCTTAATCTCTGTGTATGTTTTTTCACATCGGATTGCCATTAAGCATCGTCTCTCTTTTTTTTTTTTTTTTTTTTTTCAAGACATTGTATATTGAGCTCTGTAACTAACAATGTGGCAACTTTGTGATGAAATTTGCTGAATTTTGCTTCAAAGACACAAACTTTATAAGCTTTTTATTGTTCTTTCTCTTCCTTTCTGTTTTGCCTTTATTCTTAACACACGCGCGCGCGCACACACATATATGTGTGTGTGTGTAGAATAAAATGTGTGAATGCCATGTTTCTCTTGCGTGTGAATGCCATGTTTCTCTTGCTGTCTCCTTAGAATTTTTCTTCTTTCTTTTCTTTTGCAACATAATATGAAAGGCAGAGTTATGTTTGGTGTTTTGGGGGTTTAGTCGTTTAGAGAAGTCTATCAATGATGGGTCTGTTTACTGAAATTTATGTTGAATGTAAGCGATTTGGAGCGACCCCGCAATGAATAGTAGTTCAGGGTGATTTTTCAAGCTGAGATGAATTCAGTTGTTGTATTACTTATTTGGTCCAATCCAGTATAGTTGTGTAATTTGATTTAGCGCAACAAGCAGGCTATCTAAAGCCTAAACCACATATTGTTGTCATCACTTAAGTACAAAGTACATGATCACCTGATCACAAATTGCATCAACTATGTCTGTGTGGATTCTTGTGGCAGATCTTGGGTCCGGGTGGAGGGGTCGGAAAATCATAGATTTCGGTCATCGTATCTTAAGTTAAGATTGGATATGCAAATGGAGCTTGTGAGTTAGGTCGTAAATGGTGCCTACGTTGGTGATGCTATGAGCTGCGAGATGTTAATCAGAATGCTCTAAGATGTTATTACTGTAAGGCTTATTTCTAGCATACTGGGTCTCATTGGTATCATATAGTGGATTACAAAATCTCCTTTATGCTGAGCTAGCATAATAGAATCATTTTGATTGTTGTTGTTAAAGTTGGGGAATTATGTAAACAGATTTATAGGCTACTAGGCATCAGATTAGATTCAACTACTTGTGGTAAATCTATGCTGCATTTTGATTTCTTGTTGTGGTTCTTATTTAAATATGTCTCTGCTCATTTTTATTAGCAGTGAGCCAGTTATGTAGCTAGTTTGTTCAGCTAAGCACACAATTTTGGATTTCTCTTTCGGACGCTATTAGCGTGTCAAACTAAATAGGGCTATTGTTGATTAAATCCTTGTTCAAAAAATATAATTTATTTGCAGACGTAGTTCTGTTTAAGGTGTGTTTACTGAATTGTAATGGGGTGTAAGGGGAAAGGATTTTTGGAAAGGAAACAAAAACTAAAATAAGGATCATTTAATTCTCTCTTCAGGGTTTTTTTACTTAGTAGGGAGCGGAATTGGAATGTTTCCAATGCCTTTCTAGTGTTAATCCTAATAGCTTAAGTACTAAATTGTCCTTGTGCATATCATAGTTCGTTCTAATTGAAATGTATAATAAGCTAACTTAACTTAGGATTGATATTCCCCTTCCCATTCCCATTTACGAGAAATAAACATGCCATAAGTGCATCCTCGTAGTCGATTATTTTATTGGTTGTAGAAATTTTTTGCACACTGCAGAAGATGACAGTTAGATTTGAGAAGCTCGCCAGATGAATTACAATATTCGATCTGCACTTTTTTCTTCTCCAAGTTCTATTCTTCACTCAAAACAAAGTTGTTTTTGGTGTCGAGACGTGGCCACTTGATGCTTGCAAACTTATCTGATTGATGCCAAGCTGAAGAAACACAAGTTTCCACATCTTTGTAGTGTTTCTGTTCGCACAAGAATATATATATATATATATATATATTTTTTTTTTTTCAATTTACCCAGAAATCTTCCGAACCCACTTTGTGAGCCTTTTGTTTTGCACAAAGAATACTTTTGTTCGCAGAAGAATACTGACTAATGTTTCAAATTGTTCTTTGCAGCTGAGCAACTAATTTGCAGATGTGTTGTGTGGTTTGGAGAAATACATCCGGCTATGCAGATGGTTCTTGGAATTTTTATTCCTTTTAATTGTAATTGCCTATTATTGTTATTATTATTATTATTTTTAAAAAAAATTGGGCAACATAAAACTTACTGCTTTGTTTATTGTCTAATGTGCAGTCTTTAAGATTTAGGGCCATAACGTTGCTAATTGAGACGATTCTGGTGATTTCACAATCCCTTGTGTTATTAATTGAACTGGTACATTTTAGTACGAGTTGTTATTTATTTTGTTTTATTTTATTTTTTCGTGGACCAGATTCCGCTTCGTTAACAAGTTCGTACAACTTCAATAAATTTCATTTTGATCCCTGGCATTTAAAATATTTTACGACCAGTCAACAATCTATAAAAATATTCCTTTAGTCTTTCCATCAAGAACCTATTAATAAGTGGATAGAAAAAAAGGCACGTGACACATATTCGGGACTCCAATGTTGCATTTAAAGTAATGTCACGTAACTATTAACATGTAATTTTTCATCCGTTAAAATTAACAGTAGGGCTTTAATGGGACAGTTTTGTGAATCGAGTAATAGTTGTGGGATGTTTTAAGTTTTGTTTATTTTATCGATTTGAATTTTTAATTCTAAATTTTTAAGGTTAAAATTTTTTATAAAATATTACATCTAATTTTTTCTATTACAGTTAAAAATTCTTAAAAATATCATATCTCAACTCAAATTAAAAATTCAAATTCACAAAGTGAAGGAAGTCTTAAATATCATATATCAAAATGAGATTCACTCATAAGTTGAGGACACAATTTATATTAACCCAAACAAATTAGTGACATGGATTTGAATCATTGGGCGACATTCGTAAAAAAGATGGATGTGATCGTTTGGGTTCTTTCTCCAACTTCTTATTAAATCAGTAATTTGGAACTTTAGGGTTCTTGCCTCCAAGCATATACTAAAAGACCCATCACACACCTAGTAAAAAAAAAAAATACAAAAATTATAGTGAATAGTATTTTTTATGAAATTAAATTGAGTAAATAGTATATTTTAAAATATTAAAGAAAATAACAGTAAAAAGATTTTTAACAATGTCAATTTTTATTTATGACTCATAAAAAAAATTTTACTACGTATTTTTTAATTTATTACAAATTACTTTAAATAATTTTAAAATTTGTTATTTATTTTACTATTTGCGTTCGGGAAAAAAAGAAAAATATTTCTTAGTGTGCATGGCTTTCGACTCTTACTCTTAATTAATATCTTTTTAAATAATAATTTTATTATTTAAAAGAATATTAATTAACAGTAAAAAATAAAAATTTAAACTCAAGTTCTTTAATTTTTTTAAAAAAAACAAAATTTAGAGAGTAATCTGCACAAATTAAAAAGTTCAGGACCCAATTTGAATTTTCCAAAGATAATAATAATGTCAAGGGTATTAGCGTCGAATCATATTAGAAGTGGGAGACCCAGCGTATTTAACCAGCGTTACAACGCGTCTCCAAATCAAAGCGCTCCTCTTCTTTCCTGTTGATACAGAGCATCTCTCTCTCTCTCTCTCTCTCCCCCACTTTCTCTCTCTAAAAAAATTTCCACATTTCTAAGAAAACATGGAAGCCATTGATTCAGTCATCGATCCCCTCAGAGACTTCGCCAAGGACAGCGTTCGCCTAGTCAAGAAGTGCCACAAGCCTGATCGCAAAGGTAACAATTTCTATGTTCATCTTTGTTTGGATCTGTCTGTTTTTTGTTTCGATTAGATTTATGATTTTCCCTTTGATTTATCGTGTTATCGTTCGGTTTTCATGGTTGATTTGTGGGCTCAGAATTCACCAAGGTCGCTCTCCGTACGGCGATCGGGTTCGTCGTGATGGGATTCGTCGGGTTTTTCGTGAAGCTGATATTCATCCCGATCAACAACATCATTGTCGGCTCTAGTTAGGTATGGGATTTCAGATCGATCTTTGTCCTGTTTAATTAATTGAATGAATTGTATTTTCTAGGAATATAGGTTTTTTTTTTTTGCGCGGTGATTGTTTGTTTAAATTGCATGCCCTAGATTCAGCTATTCTATTTTTGGGTGTATCTGTCAAATTGCATTAGGGATTGAAATTCGTGCGGTGTTCTATGCATATGACTATCAAAGTGATTGATTTTACTTTTTTATTTTTATGTTAATGTGGGAACCCACCAATTCAGATTTATGTTCAAAATCACATTCGCAATTATGTCCTTTTTTTTTCTTTTCCTTTTTCTTATGTTTGGGGAGTTGTTAGCTCATTGTTATGTTAGGTAACTCAGATTTAAAGGGTCCTGGTGATTTCTTCATAAACGTGGGAAGAAGACAAGTTGCATGTCGAGAGATTATGAGAATTTAACTGGTTTGGTAAATTGGTTTTGCTTTCTTTTAACAATAATTTGGAAACGACTAATATATAATACTTTTCTATGATCTCTTTTATGCACTTTCTTTGTTCATTATTCAATTGTTGATTTCAATTTGAGACTTTTGAGTATTGCTTGTTTTGGGAAGAGTGATCTCCAATGATTACTGCTTCGACATCATATGAAACATTAGTAGTCTTAGAAGTAGTACGATGTATTAGATAAGAGATGTATTGGATTGCTAAACTGTGATGCTGCAGCATTGAGAAGTTTGTTTGATGCGTTGATTTAAGCTCGTGGTTTATCAAATATTTAGTGGTCTATATGGTAATTGATAGTCTTTCTTTGTCTCTGCTCTCTGCTTTCATGTGTGATTATTCAAAAAGTAGTCAGTTCTCTTTTCTTTCTTTTTTTTTTTTGGCATGTCAATTTTGGCGGGGATTATTTGTATTTTTTTAGGGGACCTTCTATAGTAGGCCATCTTACCAGTGGGGCTAGTCAAAATCGCATTAGATTGAAAAAGTATGTAAAACATATTTTTTAATACATATCAGATGGCTGAAAAGTATAGAATTACCGATAGTTTATTTTGTTCAATCTTATTAGAGAAACTCTTTTTTTTTTTTTTAGTTTTATGTTATACCAACATGGTAAATTTGTTCTATTGTCATTCACCAAGGGTTTAATTTTGCTACCAATTTTGCAAATTCAGAGTATCGCTCTGCAGTCATTGACTTCTTTCCTTTTTTCAATTTCAGGTCTTCTTTAAGGATAAGTTGCTAGAATATGAGGTCGCATTGATGCAACTTGTATTCACAGAGGAGAGCTTAGCTTTTATTTTTCTGTTATATTTCTTTATTTCGTTTTGAACATTGTTGAACTGACATGGAGGAGAACATATAATTCAAACTTTTGTCTCTCCATTTATACAATTTAATTCCTGTCTTTTTACAAGACTAGTAATTTTCGTAACTAATATTCTAAGATCAATGAGGCACATATCAGGCTTTAAAAAATGCTAGGAAAAAAAAAGTTGAATACTATGTGTGTTAGATGCAACTTCTTACAAATGATTTTATTACAATTTTGAGGAAAAAAAATAAAACGTCAAAATTCAATAAATAAGTTTTTTTTTTTTTTTTTTTTTTTTTTTTTTTTTTTTTTTTTATTTTTTTTTTTTTTTTTTTTTTTTTTTTTTTTTTTTTTTACATTTTAAGTATTATTGATACTAACAAATTTTGAGTTAGAAGTATATAGGGAGTACAATATTTTGAAATTATAACTCTCACGGGAAATAACAGTGGACTTTTTTTTAGTGCAACTATTGATAACCCATTATTTTTTAACACTTTTTTTCAATATAATTTTTTTTACTAAATTACCTATTAATAAAATTATTTTTAGGACGAAAATATATATTTTTTAAAAAATACTCCTAACGCACGCACCCCTTTAAAAAAAAATTTCCCTTATAAGTATTATTATTCCGTGCTTTTTAAAAAGAAATAAGGATGAATTCTAACGTGTATAAGAAAAATTAATTCATTAAAGTATATAAATATTGTAATGATAATAAACAAATAAACATACTGACTGATAGTAATAAAAAACTAAAACTTAGCATTAGCATACTTATTTAGCATCGCATGTGAGATATTCTTAACTCATACTAATCTATAGATATGTTAAAAAAAATAATAATTTGTTTAAACATTTCTCTTTTTAGCATTAGTATACTAACAAATTAATATACCATTGCATTTAAGGTCTAATAGTTAATAAACATTATTAAACTGACAGTTCGAATACAAAATTTGTATATAATATGATTTGAAAATTGATAATTTTTGTCTTTCATGTACAAAATGCATTTTGCCAAAACTAAAGATTCACCATCCATTATGCAAAATATAAATAAATAACTTGAGATGTAAACAGGACAATTTACTCAAATAAATTAATGGCATTAAAAAAAATTGACATAAAAGAAAACAGGAAAAAGAAAACAAAAGAGAAAACTCACTTTGATATCTTGTATTATTCGGTCCTATGTTTTTCATAATATCTCTATATATAAAAAGGTGGAGTGACATTTTTAAAAATGCCATTTTGATATTTTGAAGCTTTTTTTTTTTTGAGCCCCACTTAAGCCACCATCCCCTTATATTAAAAAAATGTATTTTTTGAAGTATATTTTCTTAAACATTTGATTTCAAAATAAAAGAAGCACAAAATGGAAGGTAAATGCACCAGGCAAAGTAAAAAAATGTTAGAAAACATAAAAGGCAAACGTTTGAAAAAAAAAAAGCAAAAGAGAAATGAAATTATGTTTATAAATAAAACAAGATGGACAAAGGAAGAACAAAACGACAAATACAAAGGAAAAAACCGGAGACCAAAACGACAAACGACAAACAAATAAGGTTTAGAATTTAGATAAACGAAAATGAAGAAATAACAGGGCGTTTGGAACTCGTTCTAAAATGATTTTATTTTTTTATATAAAAATAAAAATGAAGAAACAACGGGTGCGCTTGGAACTCATTTTAAAATAATTTTATTTTTTTGTATAAAAATGAAAATGAAAACTTTTTCAATCTCAGACAGAAATCATTTTTAAAAATATGTTTAATAGTTTTATCAAGAGATTATTTTCAGTATAAAAACTCATTAATGTCTTTTTTTCTCTCTCTGCTCGAAAGAGAAAAAAATAAAAATAAAAAATAAAAAATAAGTAAAAATTATTTTTTATTTTTTTCTCATTTTATATTAAATTAAAAAATTATTTTTATTTCTATTTTTTATTAAAAAATGTAAAAAATAAAAATAAAATCAATTTCAAACACCACAGAAAAACATAAAATGGAAGGTAAACAAAAGAAGCAGGCGAGAAAGAAAAAAAAAAGAAAAAGAAAAGGCAACACGTGTAACAAAAAAAACAAATATATAGTCATGCTGATAAATTGAAAGGATCAGGACAAACTAAAAACAAAACGACAAAAAAAATAAAACACGAAACCAAAACTTCACTACAACCGATGAAAGGAGTCGTTCATATAAAAGGATGCAAGCTGGTCAACCCCGGCATAAAATTGAAGGAAATGCCCTTAATCTCAAGTAGAGCTCTTTGTCGTACCTTTTAACAAGTGTTCTTCACTTTTTTTTTATTTTTTTTTTATTTTTCCCTTGTTTATATATGCATTTCCCACGAAAACCCAGAAGGAAATTAAATGAAAAAAATTCAGTCTCGCAACAAATTAAAAGAAGTTTTCAACTTAAGAAAGAACAAACTGAAGAAATTATTAAAGTTAGATTTGTTTGGGATTGGGGAATAGAAATAACTCGTATATATTTACACGACTCAAATTTTGCTCTTTCGTTTTGCAGAATTTCATCAAACAAACGATTGAAAAAATAAAAATAAAATAAAAATAAATAAACTTTTTTCTCAGCACTCAAATCCAGTTAACCGAGAATTTCCCAAAAACAAAACCATCAAAGTGCATGTGTTGCAAAACAAAATTATAAGAGAATGAGACAAAATTAAAGAGTTGGTAGAAGAGGATATATTTATGAACTCCATCTCCCTTGTAGAAATTAGGATAATTTTCATGTTTACCCTCTGAATTATGTTATTTATGTCATTTTGCCCCCTAACTTTTAAAATGCATCAATCTATCCCCTTAAATTTTGTTATGTTAGCAAAAAACCTCATTCCATCCAATTCCAACTTTTGTGACTTGACCGTAATATAATCAGCTAAAGGAGGGTAAAAGAGTCACTTTACATTAGTTGGTTATTAATTATAGCGGGAAATGAAAAAACCCTAGATATTATTCGCTAAAAATTAAAGATCAATCAAACAATAATCTCTCTCAAGAACTAGTCAAGAGAATGATAGATTTTTTAGGTAAAATGAGTTTTGGAGGCAAGGGTATTCATTACTAATTTATTTTTTTTAACCAACTTTAAATTAGATGGCCAAGTCAACAAAAAATGGTTAAAACTAATGAAAGTTGGATGGAAGAAGGTTTTTTGCTCACATAGCAAAGTTTGAGGGGATGAGTTAGTACATTTCAAAAGTCAAAGGACAAAGTGACATAAGTGATATAGTTTAGGGGGCAAATATGAAAATTATCCTAAAAATTATAAGGTGCAATTATACTTTAAATATTAATTTTAGTGCTTCTCATAAACTTAAAAATTCTCACATTTACTAAAATCATTCGAGAATAAGGGCATGTGTTTAAGTCAGTGATTAGTAAAATTTTTTTATTTAGATTTTTTATGAGAAAAAAATACTGTAACAGAATTAAAAATATGGTTTTAAATATATCAACCAAATAGACACTTAGTGTAAATATAATATCCTTAACACTTTGGCGATAATTGGGGGATTTGAATGAAGAGCAAAATTAGGTATGTTTGACCACCTTATGAAAATAATTAGTTTGTCTAACTTGCTTAAGACTACTAAGATTACTACTAGCTAGCCATAAACTAATACAAACAAGCCAAAAACTATAGTTTTTTCCCTAGTGAGCCATTTCTTTGTTTGTATCACAATAAAGTTAGCACATCACCACTACTCAAAAAAAGTTGGCACAAGGTAAGCGAGTGCTTGACCGTTAACATGGTATTTGTTGGTGCGAGATAGTTTTTTATATTTAAGTGCATGTGATATAATGTGTGTATCTTAAGTGACCAAAATACAAAAATAAAAAATAAAAGCGAAACTAAAGAGATATATACGGAGTATGGATGGTCACAGACTGACCTTTACAATTAAAAAAAAAAAAAGATACGGACAAGAAAGAAAAAAAAAGTTAGGAGGAGTTCACAAAGTGTCACGCACCCGAATTCTAAATGTGAAAAAGAGACAAATATTCTTTAATATATATAAACTTTAAATTTTTAGTTAAAGCAAACCGAAAAAATCCTATAGTAAATAAAGGGTTTTTCTAATATGACCTTATGAGTATATTTCTAATACTTAAATTTAATCAAAATCATATTAAATTAAAAAAATTTTAATAGACAATTTTTAGTCTAAATTCAACTATTGAAAACTAAAACTTACCAGTAATTCATTTTTTAAAGCTGCACTAAAAAAATTCCGATTAATATATGGATGTAAAAAAAAAGGGGAGGACTTTCTCTAATAGGATCTTCTCAATTCCTACTGTGAGGGTTGATTTTTAACTATTCAATCTGATTAAAATAACGTTAAATTAAAAAAATATATAAAATAAATAATTTATAATATAAATTTAACAACTAAAAATAAAAAAATTACAGGTTTATTTTTTTTCTACTCCTACAAGAGAAACCCCAAAAACAAAAGCAAAGAAGATCCAAGTGTACCTCCAAATTCCAAATTTACCCTCGAATCAAACAAATAATGTAAGGGCATTTTTGGTCCAACAAAATAGAAGCAAATCCATAGTGTGATTCCAAGCAGAAACTTTGCAACTAGTGTTTGTGGGTGTATATACCTGGTCAGTGTTTATCTCTCCTCCTCCACTCACCACACATCTCTTTCTCTCTCTAACCCAGCCATGGCGGCTAATGCTTCTCCCTCCTCCTCTTTCCTCACCAAACCCTCTCATTTCCCTTGTTCTTCCCCAAAACCAATCTTCCAAATCCCCATCCTCCAAAACCCCATCACTCCCCTCCGCCGCCGCCACCTCCACGCCCCCCACGTTATCACCAACTCTCTCTCCAACAACCCGGCCCCGCAGCCCCCCTCGCGCCGCCCCCCGCCGGCCCCCCCCCCCCCCCGCCCCCGCCGTTGTGTTGGAGCCGGAGACATTCGTCTCCCGCTTCCGCCCCGACGAGCCCCGCAAGGGCGCCGACGTCCTCGTCGAGGCCCTGGAGCGCCAGGGAGTGAGGGACGTCTTCGCCTACCCCGGCGGCGCGTCGATGGAGATCCACCAGGCGCTCACGCGCTCCGGCATTATCCGCAACGTCCTCCCCCGCCACGAGCAGGGCGGCATCTTCGCCGCCGAGGGCTACGCGCGCTCCTCCGGCCTCCCCGGCGTCTGCATCGCCACCTCCGGCCCCGGCGCCACCAACCTCGTCAGCGGCCTCGCCGATGCGCTCCTCGACAGCGTCCCCCTCGTCGCCATCACCGGCCAGGTCCCCCGCCGCATGATCGGCACAGACGCCTTCCAGGAGACGCCAATTGTTGAGGTAACCAGATCTATAACCAAACACAATTACCTTGTTCTTGATGTTGAAGACATTCCTAGGATTGTTAGCGAGGCATTTTACTTAGCGACTTCTGGAAGACCCGGTCCAGTTTTGATTGATATTCCGAAAGATATACAACAACAGCTTGTTGTTCCCAATTGGGATCAACCCCTTAAGCTGCCCGGCTACTTATCTAGGTTGCCGAAAACCCCTAGTGAGGCTCATCTAGAGCAGATTGTGAGGCTGATTTCGGAGTCGAAAAGGCCGGTTTTGTATGTTGGTGGTGGGTGTTTGGATTCCAGTGAGGAGCTGAGGAGGTTTGTGGAGATAACAGGAATACCTGTTGCTAGTACTTTGATGGGTCTTGGGTCTTATCCTTTGTCTAGTGAGTTGTCACTTCAGATGCTTGGAATGCACGGCACTGTTTATGCCAATTATGCTGTCGATAAGTGTGATTTGTTGCTTGCTTTTGGAGTGAGGTTTGATGACCGTGTGACCGGAAAGCTCGAGACTTTCGCTAGCCGGTCAAAGATTGTTCACATTGATATTGATCCCGCCGAGATTGGGAAGAACAAGCAGCCCCATGTGTCTGTTTGTGGTGATGTGAAGCCTGCTTTGCAGGGGATGAATAGGATTTTGGAAGGGAATGTTGGGAAGGGCGTGAAGCTCGATTTTTCGGTTTGGAGAGAGGAGCTGGATGAGCAGAAAGAGAAGCATCCATTGAGTTTCAAGACTTTTGGAGATGCTATTCCTCCTCAGTATGCTATTCAGGTTCTTGATGAGCTCACCGATGGGAATGCAATCATAAGTACTGGTGTTGGGCAACACCAAATGTGGGCCGCTCAGTTTTACAAGTACAAAAGACCCCGTCAGTGGTTGACGTCGGGCGGTTTAGGGGCTATGGGATTCGGATTGCCTGCAGCGATTGGAGCAGCCGTCGCAAACCCTGGAGCGGTCGTTGTAGACATCGATGGTGATGGGAGTTTCATCATGAATGTTCAGGAGCTGGCGACAATCCGAGTGGAGAATCTACCCGTGAAGATAATGGTCTTGAATAACCAGCACTTGGGCATGGTTGTTCAATGGGAGGACCGGTTCTACAAGGCCAACAGAGCTCACACTTACCTCGGAGACCCTTCGAGAGAATCCAACATATTCCCAAACATGTTGAAGTTTGCAGATGCTTGTGACATACCAGCCGCGAGGGTGACGAGGAAGGACGAGCTCAGAGGAGCAATTCAGAAGATGTTGGACACTCCAGGGCCCTACTTGTTGGATGTGATTGTTCCTCATCAAGAACATGTCTTGCCTATGATCCCAAGTGGTGGTGCTTTCAAGGATGTGATCACTGATGGAGATGGGAGAACTAAGTACTAGATTTCTATGTTGCTTTTCTATGTAAAAATTTTATTTTCTAGTTTTGTTAGGCACAACTCAAAAGTTTTGCTTGAACTAAGGCTTTTTAATTTTATGGGATTACTGTTTAGCGTCTAGTAATTAGTACTAGTTGTTTTTCTTTTGTTGGGAGAGCATGTTGTACTGTCTAGTAATTAGTACTAGTTGTTTTTCTTTTGTTGCGAGAGGATGTTGTATTTTCTAAATATTAACTAGGTGTGGCAAGTTTAAGAATATTTTACCAGCAAGTTAAGTTGCCTTTACCTTTGTTAAAAGCAGTGTCTTACGTATTTTTGTCGTGCCCTATCACAGAATTCTCCTTTTTACAAAGTGAAATTCTTTTATGATTTTGACTACGTAAAACATGCAAAAATCATGCTGATTCCAGTAATGATTAGATATGCTTTGGGCATATAATGTATATTCTGTTGTCTAGAGGAGTTTTGCTCATAATACAATGTTAAGAGAAACATCAGTATCTTTTAGTGTAGTGGATTTTGACAAAGCAAGACAAGCACTTTTTTTTAATAGCCAAACCTACATATGACTAGAGCATTCTACATTTCACTTTTCCGTGTCACACTTGCCATCTTTTGTTCTTTGGCTGGAAGCGTGTATTGTTAAAGCATAAATTGGGCATCCCCAGTCCCCATAACCCACGACATTAACTTTGACATCCCCTTTTCTTTTTTTGGGAAAGTTTTGGTGCATCCCAAAAATTAATGGCCGGATGAAACAAGGCGTGTTTTTGAAGCCTAAATAGGGATCCCAAAACTAGGGGTGTTTGGCGGTTTTTAACCATCGATTTTCATCGGTTTTCTAAAACCGTGCACCGAAACCTCACAAAGGACTGGTCGGTTCGGTTAACCGAACTTCGGTTTTCGGTTTTGGTAATCAGGAAAGTAGCCATCAGTTAACCATCATGTAACCAACATCTTTCGTTGTATTTTTTGACCAGAAAATGCGGAAAAATGTAAAACTTTCTTTCTATGCAAACCTGTAATCACAACAAATGAATATAAAGCACAACATCCAAATTAATAATGCCACAAACACAAATATCCAAATCTAATGTCTAAAATCCAAAGACAAACTAGAAAGTCATAATTACGGGTTGTTATGTTATTATGATTTTTATTTTGTGGGGTTTTTGGTGATGGATGATTTGATTCATATGCTACAGGGTGAAGATACTCAATGGGTAACTGTGGATTTACAACACACAGAACCTACTTGGCATTTACAACGGAAAATCCCCCAAAAGAGCAGACTCCATACATATGCTATGTCCCAATCAAGGTGTGTAAATGCAACCATTCATTATGAGTAGATTAGCAGCAGGGAGTAAAAAACGATAGCAAATGAAGAATGAAAGTAAAAAAAAAACAACATTAAAAAAAAAAAGACTCGGTCGGTTTGGTTTTTAACCGAACCTCTCAACTCAAAACTGAAATCGAACCGCTTAGGAAGCAGTTCGGTCGGTTAACCGAACCGACTATATTCGGTTCCACGTGGCGCCGTATTTTTGATTTTTGAGTGGTCGGTTTTTCGGTCAGTGACGGTCGGTTTCGATTTTACGATTTTTTTGTACAGTCCTACCCAAAACATAATTTTGACATCTATTTTTTGTTTTTTTGTTTTGGGAAAGTTTTGTTACATCCCAAAAGGTGGTTGTTACATTTTTTTTTCCTTTTTTTTGTGTGGATAGAATTGGTTGTTACTTGTTGGGCAATGACATCAATCCCATATTGTATTAAAAAAAAAAAAAAGCTCGTTAGATGAAAGTGAACGATCTGAATTGCTTTCGTTCGTGGGCATGTTTTACGGAAAGATTTGGTGCGTCCTTAAAAAAAAAAAAAAAAAAAAAAAAAAGGATTGCTTTGCAGAAATACAATTTTAGATTTATCCAATTCCTGTTTGGAATTAAGTTGGAAATTAGAGTTGATGACTTATACAAATGGATTAGCAACACCTGAAAAAATTGTGTTAAAGACTTGACATAGAATTGGTCTCTTTGTAGCCCAATTCTCCTAATAAGGGCCAACAAGAAATCGTTTTACTTTCTACAAAGTGCCCATAACACTTGATGCCCAAACGAGTGCAGAGAGCTCAAGATTTGAATGCTGTAGAATAGCAGTCAAGAACCTTTTTTGGTTTCCTCAGCTAATTATGAATTGAATAGTTGAAACTTGAAAGAGTCTTAAAACATATCAATGCACATATATAATTCACCTTTTGGTTTGGCACTAATTTCTGGAATTGATATTTTGTTCATAAGCCCAAGAAATGTTACACAATTATCTTTGTTGCCTAAGAAAGAATGAGAGCTAATCCAAAATGAAAATGCTTGCGAATTTTGGAGCTCGGGTTCTTGTATTTCCAGTAAAAATGAGAACTTGTCGCTAGCGAAACGGAAGACTCTAAAGTTAGTAAAAACTTGAAATCTCTTATTGCCCGTTTGATCACAACCTAGAATTGATAGCGAAAATAAAAATGCTACGCACCAGTAATAGAATCAACCGTTGCATGTCTTTAGCCCAATTTCACACCAACTTACCATGATCTGTGTGTGATTGGACTAAAGGCACGCTATCAGGCATTAGTGATGAAAAACAATAGCATTTTACTCCGCAAGTAACGGATGAAATAAGTGTTGCTTCATGCCAGTTAAAAAACATATTCTACAATGAAATTTCAAAACACCACTCATTCATTGACCTGAGAAGAAGCCATTGTAGTAGTTTCAAAGGACTTCTTCCTCACCAAGAGGCAAGTTATTGTCGAGGGATTGGCGTGCGTATTGTCGAGGCTGCACAACACAAAATCGGGCCTATGTAGCACAAGATTCAAGTTGTCCTTGCCAATAACAAGTTCAGTGGCATCGAGAAGAACATGCCATGAATTCCTGTGGGCTTCTGAGACCCAATGCAGTGAATAGTGAGTCCCATTTACAACTGCAGGGTAAGAGAACAAACCCTTTTGCTTGTGCTTGCTTTTCTTCCTGAAATACTGACTAAGCTGTGAGCCTTTGATCCTCAAGTCCAACCAAGTCTCCGGTGCCGGAATCACTCTTGCTTCCTTGAAACTAGCATATTCCCTTATGCAATCTTCTTCCTCTCCAATTATGGTCATGTAAGTATTTCCCTTAAAAAACGGATAGCTTTCTCCGACCAACTTCATGGAATCAGTGTAGTTCGGAGTGAAGAGGACGAGGTATTCGTTGTCAGGCAAGCAGCAGTGCTTTAAGACCTTGTTTCGGGCCTGGATCTCTGGGATCGAGATGAAACTACCGGGAAACGAGGATTTTGTCGTCAGGATATCAAGCAGCCTAGACGGTTCTAATTGTGTCCTGTCTAGCTCAGGAAGGTTACCTCCGGAGGAGGGTGTGGAGGGCTCTCTTGAAGCTCCTCTCGGAGATTTCCTCTTGTCATCAGGAGCGGGATCAGTTGACTCGTCGTTGATGCAAATACTCGAGAGGTCGAATTTCTCTCCTTCAACAAGTCCTGCATATTGTGGATACTTTGCCAGGACATACTGCTCAACATATTCCATTTCTGTTGGTGTAATTGGACCTGACCATCTTAGGCCAAGGCCATCATCATGCAGTGTTGATATTGCTTCGGCTATGATGTGCGCAGGAATAACGGTTTGCGCTTTCTGTTATTGAGTCACAGAGATAATTACTCAAAAACTTTGGGATAAAAGATAAGAAAAGAAAAAACCTCTCTAAAATTGTGTTCAAGTTTTACCTTAACAACCATACTTCTTGGTCTGCTTTCTTCCGCGGCCGGTTTGTGAATGGAAGCGAAAAGTGATTTCTTGCACTGACCTTCAGTCATGGCCTAATTTGATTTTTAAACAAACACTCAGAATTCTTACATAGAATTTTTCAGACCAAAGAAAAAAAAAAAGAGGACATAATTTGGAATCATTAGTACTTACCTTGGATTCATGTGTGGGATTCTCTTCTTCAGTGTTCCTCCCCATGGTATCAATTTCTCTGTGCTACTAAAACGGGTGTGGAAATTAAATTGCTTTTATGTTGTGACGAACAAATAGAAGACAAAAATATTAGGAGAGGAAATAGATGTGGTGTATGTACAAAGTCTTAGCCAAAAAAAAAAAAAAGGGGAAGATTGAAGAAATGAAAGAATTTTTTTGGCAAAGGAAAAAAAAGACGAGAAAGAAAAAGAGTGTATTTTGAGTCTAAACTTGGTAAAAGAAACAATTGGCAAGGATTAGGAAACAAAGGAAATGGGAGGAAGGAAAGAGGAAGCTACACAAATAGGACCAAGCCAAGGGTCAACTAAGGCTCTTTGTTGTTGCAGTTAAGGATCTGAAAGTGAGGGCATTAAAAAAAAAAAAAATCAAAAGAACTCACATCCAAGAAAAGTGTCTGAAAGTGACAATAGCAATGTTTTCTAAGCCTAGACACGCCTTAGAATTGAAAGGGTATAGTTATTTATTTGTTCTTTTTTTTTTGGGTGAAATTTAAACCATGATTTTTGATAATGTTCTTCTTGATTATTATGTGGCCTCTGATAATTGGTTAGGTTTATTATAACCAAACCAAACCTTAAAGTAAAGAATTGATCTTTCTCTAAGTCCCTTGATATAATTTAATTTTAACCATGGATCAAATGTCACACTGCTTGAAAATATTAGAGTAAAAAAAACACTGTGCGACAATTTATAGGAGTGGAATTGAAATATAACCCTTTTTAAAAATAAAAAAAAATAAGAATATCGTAGTGATTATTATATATGTTCACGTTTTATGTTACAAAATTACATAGTAATTGTTATAATGATTTCGATTTTTACTATTTGTAAAATATTTTGTTTGGGTTATATTTCAACATTACTAGTAAAGATTGTTTTATATGTCTAACTCATTAAATATCAAAATAAAAAATGACCTATTGAGGACATTTTGTGGGCGGATCTATTAAGATCAACCATAGGAAGATTGTACTATTAACAAGAGACAAGCTCTGTAATTATGATTTTCCAATTTTCTTTTGTCTAATCACATTTAGACAAGCTTCCGTACTCAAATTATGGTGACGTTTGGTTTGTGGGTTCAGACTTATAGTTCATGATTTTGATTTTTGAAATTTAAATTTTTTGTGAGAGGAAAACACTGTAGCGAACCAAGAACCATGATCTTAAATCAGGACAGAACCCTCAAAACAGACGGAGCATACATAAAAATGGGTGTTGGGGCCCTTTTGGCGAGGGCTTGTCAACGTGTAAGGTAGAGGACTCGTGGCCCCTTTTAGTTCCTTATGATTGTGCTCTTGCCGATCTGACGTGGTCGAAGAGCTGCTGAGGGCACTTCCTAGCATCGATAACGGCTGAGAGGATGAGATTGGCCCCGGCTGAGGTAGGCTAAACCCGGATGACCCCGAGGATGACGATATCCGAGGGCGACACCCGTTGCGGCTTCAGCTCCAAGATAGTGAAGAATTTCTGATGGGGATCTTCCAATGATCATATAGTGTGGGAGAGGAATGTGACCAGTTTATGGAGAAGGTTCCGAAGTGGGTAACGGAGTTGAATCTCTCTGTTTGTGAATACAATGACTCCGACAGACGTAGTGTATATAGGGATCAAAACTCAGTCTTGGAGGGTGTTAGGCCATGGTTAAGGGATTTCAATGCTTCGGGGAGCTTTTGTTACCGCTTCCAATGGGGAGAACGCCTAAAAACTTGTTCTAGAGGGACTCTGATGAAAGTTATGGAGAATAGAATTTCTCGTCGGTTGCTTTGATAGAAACCAAACAAAATCCAGGGAAATTAGCCAGAACAGGGGATTTTTGACCTACGTTTTCTCCCTTTTTCCTTTTTCGTCCTCCCCTTTGAGAGGCTTAGACAACAGTATTTATAGACAAGGAACGTGGTAAGGGGAGGAAAGTTTTCCCTCCATCCCTTTTGAACTTTGGCTGAAATCCCCCCATAAGTCTTCGTCGGTAAGGCATTTCCAGTGTGATTTAATGATAGCTTACGTCGATCACAGAGGAAGGCTTACTAAAGAGATGAATAAATGGGTTATTGGGCAGCCAGTGGGGTTCTGTGGCCATTTGGGTGAGCTCAGAGGCTGGCAGCCAAGTGGGCAGAGGTTTGCCTTCTCTTATTTATGTATATTTTGTCTTCTTATAGTTTTTTGGGAAAGAGACTGCGTTTGATTCCCGGGAAGGCAAGAGAAGTGAGCGAAAAAAAAGGAAAGTCATGGGGAAAAATGCTATTTTGTCTCTTAGTGTAAGGTAATGGACCAATAGGCTTTTCTAGACTATTTATAAAAGGTTTAGAACTATAAAGGTAATGACTGTAAGCTTAGGTAATTTGTTTTACTCTGTCTAATTTTCTCCATAACCCACGTTATCCTAATTCCCTCATAGACCCAAAACCACCCCAAGTGGGCTAAGAATCTAATTGGGCCGGATAAAATGGGTCCGGTCACATTCCTTGGCCTGCCAAATCACGGCCCACATAGAAGTCCCTAAAACGTGGCTTGGGTCTACGTACCATACCTGAAGTTGTATTTATTAGATCTGGGCCGGGGCGATACCTTGTAAAATTTTGGGTATCAACATTAGCCCCCTTGATTGTATGGGCTATGCAGTGTAGCGAGATAGGCCATGTAATCGATCTTTGAGCCTGATAACCCATTTCGTCTGTATTGGTGTAGAATCAAGTTGTTAGTAGAAACAAGCCATCCTTGAGAGAATCCATAACCAATCCAGTAATTGCATCGTCATTACACTGAACTTTTATTTTCTGCCATACCGCTCACCTTTTTTTTTAGCTCATTCTTTATAGCCAAGAATAACTCCTCTAGAAAAATTCTTATTATTTTCTTTTTCAACACCCATTTTTCTTTTATTCCCTCATACCATTTTTTTATCCTTCAAAACATATAGCCCTTTTTTTTACTATTTCCTCATCTCTCCCGAAAAAAATAACTCTCCTTCTCAAATAATATTTCTTTTGCTCCCATGTTTCAAGACTATTACTATATATATATAT